CACTTGGGGTGGGGGTTAGCATTCCCAGTAGGTGGACTGTCTCCCAGACTAATTAAACCTGAGTCTTCAGGATGGGGATCAGGATTATTTATGCTCCCGCACCCCAGGAGGGGCTCAGTCTAAGCAGGGGAAGCAAATGCCAGGGCCTTGAGATGGGCCTGAGCTCAGCATGTTGGAGGGAGGTGAGGCAGGAGCTGAGGTGAACGAGAAGGCTGAACCATGATCTAGTTCCTCCAGGTTTGGGCACAGAGGGGGACTGTGAAGGGCATTTAAGCTGGGCAGCAGCGTGACCTGCATTAGGCTTGGAGATCAGGCTGATCCTCCTCCTTTGCATGTGAACTGGTGAAAGCACAAAACATGGTTCTTCATGGACCAGAGGGTCACACACCAGAGGAAGTGAGAGCAGCAGCCCACCTGACAACCTGCTTCATCATTTCTGACGTTTCCTTCACAGAAACTACAACAATGATGCCACCCCCATTCGCGACTAGTGTTTTGTGTGACTTAAGTTTGCAGGATCCCCACTTTTTCTGGGCAGTCTCCCGGACACACCGCCTGCTGGGCTAGACGCCTCCTTGGGCTTCCACAGCATCCTGTGTTTCCTTGACTAATACAACTGGTCTTGGCACGTCAGCATTTCTCCCTTGTTTCTTGACGTATCTGAGAGCTAAAGGTAGGGACCTTGATCTATTTGACTTTTTTTTTTTTTAATACCCACCACCTAGCATATCGTTGGCATTTAATAAATGCTGAATGAGCGATTTAGAAAATACAGTCATGTGCTTAGTGACATCATAGATGTTTTGACTTTTGTAAGTACTTTGTGGTGTCCCATAGTGACAAAAATTGCCTAATGCTGCATTTCTTAGAGGTATCCCTGGTTGTTAGGTGACATGTGACTGTAATTTTCTTTCTTTCTTTTTGGCACTGGGAAATGAACCCCAGGGCGTTTTAACACTGAGCTACATCCCAGGTCTTTTAAAAACATCTTTTCTTTTAAGACAGGGTCTCACTAAGAAGCTGAGGCTGGCCTCAAACTTGCAATCCTCATGCCTTAGCCTCATGAGTTGTTGGGATTAGAGGCATGTGCCACTGTGCCCAGCTGCATGACTGTATTCTAAATCCAATGTTTAAGTCCCTAGACTACAGAAGGCTTGGTTCATGTTCTTTATCAATAGACTGGTTGTTTCCTTTCATTGCCCAAAACTTGGGTTTGGTTTGCAGTAATTAAAGGAGAAACATTTTAAACACATACAATTGTACTAGTTTCAGTGTCATGGTTCGGGTTAAAGACCTTCCTCAAAGGGTCCATGTTCTCCCAAACTCCCAGAAACCACCCAGAGTCCTGGCCCTGGGGGAGACTAAAGCCAAGTATATTAAAAGCAGAGGTTCCAACAAACCAGCACGTCTGGCAAAGAGCCAAACATGTGCAAACCCGACATGGAGTTTTAAAGGACCTTGGAGATTAATTCCCTTGCAGAAGAACAAAAACCAGATGCTTCCCCCTAGAAAAGAGAGCACCGAGGACAACAGCAGGAGAGGTAGCAGGGAAGGCAGTCGGAGCTTCACAAGCGATGCTTACCCACCGTTAACCCCAACAAACTGAAGGTTCTTTTTGGTCCCATTACCTCCTGCACGGAAGCCATAGTCTTTCTTTTTCATTATGGATTTAAGGCTGGTCGGCGGGGAGCTCTCTAGGTAGATACAACATCACAGGTTAGAAAGATCTTGGAGTAGCAAAAGCAGGGCTTTTCCTTTAAGGGGATACAGGTTGCAGGTGTGTGAAAAGGTGGATAGGGACAGAAACCAGATAATTCAAATCAAATGTTTTGGGGACTTTTTCAATAAAATGGTTTTATTCTTTCTGGTGACTGTCAATAGAATGGTTCCTGTTAATGATGCCCCTCTCTATATGGATGATTAGAGAGACTGGAACATTCTCGCAGGGAACCACATGGGCACATGTGGTTGTTGTCCCTATCTTATGGCTAGGAAATCTGAGACTCAGGCTTCCTTGGGGAATGGCAGAGCAGGAATAGAACTTAGGTCTGTGGACTCATGGGCCAGCACCCTTCTCCGCTCAAGGGCACCTCAGAAGTCCTTTCTAGTTCATGTGCACGTTGACACTTGTGATGTGGGGGTAGTGATGACACTGGAGACAGGTGAGCAAGAGCACAACCTCATGCTGTGCTCAGTGGTATGGGAGGCATTTCCCAAGGGACAAGATGGGAACTAGCACCGAAATGAGAAGGCAGCCAACCTGTGACCTGTGGCAGGAAGCAGACTTGCATGCTGCCCACTGAGCCAAGCATGGTAATGGCTCCACTCTCCTCAACAGTGAAGAGTGTGAGATCGGTCAGAAGAGGAGGAGCTGCTCTGGCCCATGTGAGCCCCTGCCCCCATGCATGCGCACAGAAAATACTCAGTGAACAATTCCCAATCTCTATATAATGCTCATCCAAAACCAGGCTAGAGAAAACCTCTGATGTGGGAGGGCCAGAAAGGGTTTTTCCTGTTCCAGCAGGAATGCTGAAGCCCAGGAAACCAGCAGAGAGCCTGAGGGGAGCACCCAGGGCAGGACCACCCTTGGCCAAGACTTTGCCTTTGTGTGATGAAATGAGACAGCGCCCTCTCTGGGTAAACCCAGTGCTGCAGGCACATGGTTTGGCAAAGGGAGCATGGGCTGGATTTCAGTTCCTATTTGCCCTCCTTGGCTGGCATCTTTGTGGCTGACACTATCTGTACAGCTGTATGTGGTGGCCCTGCAGTCAGACTCACACCTACACAAGGAGAGTAGAGGTGCGGCCCCCATGCTTACACAGGTCAGTTTTTATTCCACTAGGCTCCTGGAGGTGCTAAAATCTTTTTAGAAATCTACTCATGTAACCAAAACCCCCTTTCCCTTGGATTTGTCATATAAAGGAGAAAAGGTTCCCTGCCTTGGGCACCAGTATTTACCGGTTGGAGGGGAGGAGGGCGGGGCTGCAGGCTCCTGTGGGGGAGTCTGGGCTGAGTAGGCAGACAGCAGCTGGTTGAGGGAGCTGAGCAGCTGGCTCTGGATGCTGCTGAGCTTGGAGGCAGGCTGCTTGATGGCGCTGGCCAGCTCCGGGTACCCATGCTCCAGGCAGCTCCACTGCTCCTGCAGGAGCTCCTGGATCTTTTTCACATATTGCCCAATGGTGGCATCTGTTGGAGAGCTTGGTGGCCTTCCCGGGTGCTCCTTCCCTGGGAGCTCCTCCCTGGACCCTGGGGCAGCCTCTCTGTCACTGCTCCGTGAAGAACCTTGTGCTGCCCTGGCCAGGCTCTCGCCTCCTGCCTGCAGGCCTCCCTCGTGCTCAGAGCCTGCTTCTTCAATCCTGAGTTCAGTGGGGAGGCAGCAATGTAAAGGGGAGGCAAGGACCTTCTCAGGTCCCTGTGGCAGTGAGAGCTGGGGCGGTAGCACAGGCTCTGCCAGTCTCTGACCCGCTCGAGTGTGACCATTTTGCCCCCATAGGAAGCCATGCTCCTCTCCCCCAGCCCCCCAGCTTTCAGAGTCTGTGATGCTCAGAAGGTTGACCCCGATGCTCTTGTCACATGACTCCCCTGGGAAGAGGCCACGGGGAGGGTCAGTGTTCACCATGGCATCAGCCTGGCCCTGGGCATCTCTGGACGTCTCTTGGCTAAGCTTTTCTTCCAATTGGGCTACAGTGCACTCTAGCTCTCGAATCCTCCCCTCCCGCGTCTTGATTTCCTCTTCCTGCTGCTGAAGGGCAGCTCGGACCTGGGTCAGTTCCTTGGTTCTGCCAGACAATTCACCCTCAAGGGCTGAGACCCGCTCCTCCAGGATGGAGATGCTGTTGGGGTCCACCAGGGCAAGGCCCAGGCTTTCCTCAGTTACCCGGATGCCGATGCTTCTCACATCCAACTCTATGGGCGGCGGGGGTGGGATCTCACTGATGTTGAGCTCGATTTCCTCCAGAGGGAGCTCATTCTCAGGGATGGGAGATGGCAGAGGTGGGGGGCTGGGTGTTGAGGAGCCAGGGGTAAGAACCCCCTCTGCTTCTCTGGTTTGGTGTTCGCCTTCCACATCCTCTAGGAGTGCATTCTGGAATGCGGGAGGAGGCCCTGGGAGAAACAGGTGATTTGGAGCCTTCACTTCCCCCACTGCAGGCTCAGCCCCCTCCTGGACTAGCTCTGGGAGCCCTGCCACCAGGTCTCCCAAATCACTGACTGTCAGTTGGGCTGATGCTCCAGGGCTGGAGCTGTGAAAACCTGCAAATCCTTCTGCTGGGCCAAAGGTGCCATCCCAGACGCTGCCGTCCCCCTGCAGAGGAGGGAAGGCAGGAGGTGCTGGAAGACCTGCGCTTAGGTTTGGCTCCTCCGAGGCCCTGTTTTGGGGCAGCGTGGCTGGCATGCTGGATGCTCTCAAAAGCTGGGGCCGTCCACTCCCAGAAGTGAGCTCGGCTTCCTCTGGAGCAGCAGCCTCCAGCTGCCTGGAGGCCTCCGCCAATAGGGCCTTCCTATGATAGCTCACCTGGCTCCCGCTGGCTGAGGCGTGGGGAGGATCACCTAGCAGCAGTGACTGGGTTTGCTCCTGCGTCCTGGGTGACACCTTCCTTGGAACTGCTGGAGACCAGTTTTGCTGGGGGATAGTAACATGGGGGCGAACCCCACTGTCAGGAAGGCTGAAATTGCGGGGCAACGTGCTAAACTTGGCCTGCTTGGCTCTTCTGTGGATAGGAATCCTTTTGATGGTGTTCCCTTTCTCAATGTCATCTACATACTTGAGGAAGTCCAGGTCCAAGTGAAAGCCATATGGGGTCTCCACAGAGTATGGGTGGCTCCTTGGAGGGTCTTTCTCTTCATTCCCCTGAGAGATCTGGTCTTTGGCTGAGAGGAAGAAGAAGGAGGGGGGGAGGGGGAGGAGGAGGAGAAGAAAAGTTAACAAAATTTACAGGGTGATGAAACTTAATAACTGTGATTTCAACTTGACAATGTCACGTGAGATTTCTCCCAAATGTTCTAGCCTCTAAATTGTGCTGAGAAGATCACAGTCCTTTTGGCTGTACTGGGAAACCATCTTATTAAAGCAATGTGTATTTAGCCAGTGCCTGCAAGGGAACAGGTAGAGGGAATGATTTTTAATTTGCAGTATGTCATCTCAGATGCTGGTGTGGAATCTGCCTGCAGACCAGCGAAATGACATTATCTCATACTTTTTTTCCCAGTTGGAGTCATGTAACCATTGAAATGAAGTGGCCAGGAACTGGCACATCAGGGGGACTAATTGGCAATTATGGATATGGAAGGTTTTGAAAGATGAGATGAGATACACAATTTACTCAGCATAAAAAGGAAACTTGCATTACTCAAATGGGAACTAGTAAATCTTGCTACACTGGAGGTATCAAGGAGTTACGCCCTCTACATTATTGAAGCTTCCTCCCATGCCTGAGCCTCCAGTTACAAGAAGATCAGAGAGAACTGGAACAAGTGAGCCTGCATAGCTAATGCTCTTTCCCCCTGAAAACTGCTTAGTGCTTAACAAGTGATCATGCGTAGCTGAATTCCACTTTCAAACACCATGCCCTGTAAGGGAATACATTTTTCATAGGTTGGAAAAAAGGCAGGGAGGGAGAAAGGCCAACAAATGTCAAAAGGGACACAGGCCAATATTCTCCAAGAGATATGGACCCTGTGGATCCTGTGTCTTTTAAGGCAGCCTGAACTATGGGGGATGCTATAGGGAACTTTACACCAAGGTGCCATTGGGCTCCTTGCAGCATCCACCAACTGGCCCCCACAGAGGCCTCTAAGAACAAGCCAGTCCTTCAACTGTTGGAGTCCCTAGGAACTTGTCTCCAGGCATCCTCTTCTTCCGGTCAGAAGAAGACTGGGTTCTTCCAGCATTCCTCATGTGATACTATTACCTCTGACATTCTGCTGAGCATACTCTGAAAAAGCTGAGCTCAAAAGAGGTTCAGAATACAGATTCTGGAGCTCCATCTATTTCTCTGCTCCTAGCCTTGCTGCATCTCATCATCTGTAAAGTGGAAATAATGATAGGTAATATAGCATTATTGTGAGGCCTAATTAATTAATAATGAATATAAGGTGCCTGACACAATGCCTAGCACATGATAAACACCTGATACCTGCTCAGTAGTGATTATCTTTGTGGAAGACCAAAATATTGAGAACTGAGGCCCCAGGATGGAAATCAACCCATGTGATTCACTGTTGCATATTCTGGGTCCACAAGTTCTTTGTGACTGATTCCTTGGCTCTAAGGGGAGGGGGCCCTGTGTGGAAAAAGCAGCAAAGCAACAAAGCAGCAGTAATTCAGTTCACTTCCTTAAGGCACAATTTATTCAGCTCCCATGGGTCAGTTGCTAAGCTAGGTCTCAAGAGCATGAAGATGAGTCAGGTATAGCTGCCCTGCCCTCCAAGGATTGATGTGATCCAGTAGGAGCACTGCCACACATACAGTACAGCAGGGTAAGGGGTGCCAAATCAGGCTCAAGGTACAGTCTTCCCTGACTTATTTTTCCAGTTTCTCTAAAAATGATTTTCTTAAACATGGAAGCTAATTTTGCCTTGGTAAGAGAGAGTAGAAATCACAAAAGTGACATAGGACTGGGTGTTAAATGAACAAACAGGAATTTATCAGGAGAATAGGAGGGTGAAAGATATTACACCAGTTATCTCCAGATGGTACCATCAATTCCTACCCTCTTTAGACAAGCAAGCAAATTCCACATTGAGAGATGGAGTCTGTTTCTCCATGCCTTTGGATCTGGGCTGATCTGTGACTGCTTTGACCAAAAGAATATGGCAGAAATGATGCTGAGAGAATTCTATGCTGGGTCTCTTAGGATGCCCAGTTGGTGGGAAGTTGGCTGCCATGTAAGTCCAACTTCCCTTAGGCTGCTGTCTGGTGAGGAAGCCCACAGAGGGAGAAGGGTCCTGCAGAGAAAGGAAGAGTGATGTCTCCCCAGCCCTCAATGATTCCAGCCATCCTCGCCCCAGGGTTAGGCAGGAGAAAAACAGTCACCAACTCAGCTGGGCACAGATGACACAGGCTTGTAATCTCAGTGACTCAGGAGGCTGAGGCAGGAGGACTGGAAGTTCAAACCTCAGCAACTCAGCAAGACCCCATCTCAAAATAAAAGTGTAAAGAGGGCTGAGGCTAAATATCAGTGATAAAGTGTGACTGGGTTCAGTCCCCAGTACTGCTAAATAAATAAACACACATAAATAAAATTCACTAGCTGTCATCCAACTTCAACTACAGGAAGGGCCCCAAGTGAGGAGGACTCAGTTGAATCTGCATCAATATTAAATTATGGTGGTAAACCACCAAGTTTCAGGTGGGGGGGGGTGGTTGTTATCCTCCAATAGATAGCCAGGACAGATATTCTAGATAGACACCAGAATGTGCAAAGACATGAGACATGGAATTGCATTGTGTGCCAGGGCTGTGTAAATGCAGCTCATATGGCCAGAACCTAAAGTGTGGAAGAGAAGAACAAAGAGCAGAAAAAGTAAATTGGAAAGGGAAGCAAGCACCAGGTCATAGAGCAACCTACATACATGCCAATAAGTTTTGATCTTATTCTCTAGGTAACAGGAGTCACTAAGGGTTTTAAACAAGGGAGTGGGAGGCTGGACTTAGCTCAGTAGTAGAGTGTGAGCTCAGCATGCATGAGGCCTAGGATTCATTCCCCAGCATCCCAAGAAAGATTAAACAAGGAGGAGACTAAGTCAAGTGTGATTTCAAAAGGAGCATCTTGCAGAGGACTGTTATTATTATTATTCTGTGCTGCTAGGAGTTGAACCTATGACCTTGTGCATGCTAGGAAAATACTCTGCCCCTGAGTGACACCCCCAGCCCTCTCAGAGAACTGGAAGAAGGATAAAACTAAGGACCAGCTGGGAGACTGCTGATGTGGTCAAGATCAAAGAAACTAAAGGTAATGGAGGGAAAGGGACAAGATGAAAAAATGTGCAAATGATGGTGCTACCTGGGGCACACTGGGGCTTGATTTTCCATGAGGATGGTGATATATTAGGACTGAGCTCTTCCCATGTGCCTGTGTGATAGCTGCTTCTTCTGGCTAATGCCACATGTGGGCCAGGTGGCTCTCTGTGCTTAGGGAAGTATAGTTGCCTCCAAAAAATGAGACAAAGCCAACTAGACATATGAAGACTGAACTCGTGAACATGGACACAACAGAGCCTGCCAGCCATCATTACTGAGCAGAGCCACAGGCCTGTGGGCAACTATGTCACAAGCACAGCACGGTAGGGAACAGGATTGCGTTGCTGCTGATCTACACCAAGGTTCCTATTGGGTTTTAGAACTTTTGTAGCAGGTGACTGGCCTCCAGATAGATAAGGAGCAAACACTCTTCTAGCATTCCCCAAAAACTCCCTATCACTTCCCATTCACCCACATAGTTTTTCTTATACCAACTACATCTCCCTTCCACCCCAAAGCAGCAGGCTGGCTGCTTCAGTAAATGAGAGCAATGTTTCCAATTACACTCAGCTATATTCTTAAGTCTTTTGGTTCACTCAGAAGCCTCCTGGAGTACAAGGACAGGACAAATCAGAGAGGAGACATTTGTCTCAAGTTAAGTGGAAAGCAGATTTATGACCCAGAAAGCAAAGACCTCTCCTAAAGGAGAGTCTGCATTATTTACCTTTATTGCCTCTGCACTGATTTTCCCAGAGGCCTCTGGGAGCAGGTTCAGAACACAAATGCAATAATAACATCAAGTAAGAAACAGCAGGTTCAGAGGCAGAATCTTCCACAGGGAGGCAAGGGGAACCAAAGGAGTCAGAGAGTAAGCAGTTATCATGGATGAGAGGGTTAATAGGCACTTTCTTAAACCCATCCTCATGTGCATGCATGCGTGTGCATGCATGTGCGTGTGCATGCACGCACACACACAGTCTCACTCGTGATCCATCACGCTGCCCTGTCTGCCATGTGCCACTCTTCAGCCCTTTTCTTTTTCCCAGTGCAGGCAGAATGTTGGACCTCCATGATGGAGCTTGAGCTGATAGGCAGGGAGACCCAGCCTCACCACATGCTCCACTCCTGTTAATTCTACCTGGTGACAGGTATGCAGGAGCTCACAATTCCAGGCATGGGGCCAGGACAAGAATTAATTAGGAGAACTGTCTGTAATCAAAATGACAATTGAATCAGATAAGCCAAGCATAGCTAGGCTGGCTGGATTTGAATTCTGGCTGTCATCTCCTACCTGTGAGACTCTAGGCAAAGTATTTCATTTCTCTATGCCTCAATTTATCCATATATAAAGAGGAGATAATAATTCTTAGAATTGTCGCAATATTAAGGCTCATGGCACAGAGTAGGTAATCAATGAGCATCCTAAATGTGGTGGAGTGGCAGGGATGGCGGGGGGCTTGGCTCTGAATAGGTGGGAGAGGATTTGCTAAAGATTCTCTCCCTAACTCTGTGAGGACTACAGCCTCAGGAGGGAATGAGAGCCCAAGAAAATAATTCTGGAGAAAAAGGAAAAATGAGTTTGGGGAAAATTAAAAAAGTAAGATACAGGAGGCTCGAAGCTATCAGGAACTGTCTTTTTCTGAAAGCAAAGCCAAGGAGTAGATGCCTTGGAAGGACCTAAAACACAGCCATCAGCCTCAGAGTCACACACAGATGGGAGGAAGAGGGCTGGGAAGGGACAAGGTAAGGAGGGAGTACCACAGAATCATCTGGAGGGACAAAAGAAAGTTCAGCAGGTGACTAAACCAATTAGAGGCACTGAAAGTGAGAAAGAAACATTCAAAAGTCTGTAATCAGTGTCTGGAGGAAATGGGAAAAACAGAAACAGGAGAGAAAAATGGCTAAAAAT